GATTCTCCGGCCCCAACGAACGGCGGAGCCTGGATATGCTCTACATTGACTTTGCAGCAGGGTCTAAGAACCCCGTCACGGTTGACCTTTCCAAGATCAAGGCAATCGATCAGGACGAGCATGTGGAACAGGTGGTGAACGATGAGCCCTTCATTATTCGATTTTTCGGCCAAGTCGTGCCGGATGAGAAGCCTAACTACCTTCTGGTGGCTGGGTCGCATGGAGTCACATAATGCACGGTTGAATGTTGCAGGAATTTGTGCGGCCACAGTTTGTGGCCGCCAGGCCCATGTAAAGCTTGTCACATGGTGACGACGTGTCACAACGACTTAGGTCGCGGAAGCGAATTTGGATGATTCTGATCAGGTCACTCAGTTCTTCCTGAGCCCAACAGGCTACGATCGAGTCAGCTCGACAGCCCCTTGTGCTGCTTACTTAATCAAGCAACTTTCAGAGGATTCCAAGACTCCGCCGCTTTTGCATCACGAGTGGGACAATGAGATTGTGAAGTTTACTGTGGCGATGCTTGGCTATGGCTATGTGCCATGTGCTATATTGCTGCTTACATTATTTCCTAATTTCGCAATGTCTTAGACATGGCCCCAGTGATCCCCCTTTCGAGCCCATCCAATCCATTGCCAATCCATCCAACATCTATTTGCAGTGTGTCTGCCCAGTGAAGCACGATCTCCCTGCACATGCCCTGAGTTGCAAACTCCGCCTCATTGCAGCTTCGAAGCTACTATGTGCCTTGCTGCTGTGGTGACAGTACTGTGCGAGATGCAGTGCATGAACCAAGGTTGTACATGTCTTCACACACAGTTTGACTTGGTATAGCGGTAGTTGTGGAGTTGTGGAAGTTGTGGAATCACAAATTGTGGAATGCATGTTTGTATGTGTGTATATCCTGTGAGTCTGCCTTTCTTGATTGCTTGCACGGCTTGCACCGATGCAGACCGATGCACTGCACTGCACTGCCACACAGTGTTCTGCAGCCCCGCGATGCCGAGCCTGGGTCAGTGGGTCAGTCAGTAGACTTCTTGAATGTCCGAGGAGTGGCCGCACAGTGGATGTTCGGATGTACTATCATGTCTTGCGGGCCGACGATGCTCAGGTGTTGAAGGCTCAGGCGCTGCAGTGCACACTTTGTTGAGCTCGCACGTTCAAACATTGCTGTAGCCATAGGATAGGCCGATCTGATTCCTAATGTAGTAGCCTCTCCACTTTCCATCCCGTATTCCACCCGCAGGCTGTGCTGCGAACTCAGAAAGGCGACGATTGGAAGGGAACCAGAGTCGGCCTGAGCCGAGCGAAGCATTTGTATGCACTGGGTGACGACAAGGCTGTGAGCTCTGAGAAGGGTGAGAAGCGCCCTTTGGGCGGAGCTGGCTTATTCGAAAAGGCGAAACCATCCAAGCCAGACTCTGCTGCAAAGAACGAGCAGCAGAATCTGATCATCGGAGGCGGTTCTGGGTCCAAGGCCAACAAGGACATAGCCTTTTTGCTGGCCTGAAAGAAAGCCAGAAAGGTTGAGATGCCGAGCATGCCAAGACTCAAGACTGTATGTTCAGTATGTTCAACAGATTGGGCAACTAGCTAACCAACTGACTACCGCTGCTTGCTCGCTGCACTCCGTTCTGCACTGCAAGATGTAGTGCTTGTACTTGTCACCACGTTTCCCAGAAGCATTGGCGAAGAGAGGTAGTAGCCGGTAGTAGCGACTGGTATTGGTTGACTAGTGGGGCCTATCTATTGCTGTCTAGGTTAAGTCCTCAGCAAAGGACGTCTGACTTCAGAACTTTGGCAAGGAGCTTTTGCCAGGAGGTTTGTATATTATA